ATTGATCATAGTTTACACGAGAAAAGGGGATAGGCGCGTTAACATTTATCTCTTCAAAGAGAAATAGGTACATCAAGATCACTGAGAGAAGGATCCACTGAAGAAGAGGATATCGGCGCCAGACTAGGAGCAAGAGACAAGAACTTCTCGAGTAAACACTAATGATAGGTGGTTTAGGCAGAAGTACTGGTGGTGAAAGTAGAGCTGAACTGATGATGTCATATATTAACAACTCATCGAAATCTTGTGAGGTTTAGGTAGCCATGAGTCACCAAATAATGGAGATTGTTCATGAAATGTGACATCAACAAAGATCATAAACCTAATTACGAGGGAAAAAACAACCATACCCTTTTTACAAACGTGAGTATCCTAGAAAGATACAACTTAATTACTTAGGGTCCAGTTTAGAAACCAGTGGATAAGTGTTACGAACAAAGCAATTACACCCAAATATATGTAGTTCAATGGGAAAAAGAGAGCTCGTTGGAAATAGAACTTGTTAGCTGATTTTACAAAATAGTAGAGGGCATTTAATTAATTAAAAAACATGTAGTGAAAATTACGTCAACCCATAACTGTTAGGTGCATTAATTTGAAAGAAAAGAGCACTAGCTCTCTCAAGAACATGTCTATTTTTCCTTTTAGATGAGTACTCCATTTGGGATGGAGTATCAACAAAGGATAGATGATGAAGCATCCTATTTTATCATAAATTTCTGAAAAAAAAAACATTCTTTAGCATTGTCATCTCTCAATAGGGTTGTCAAAAAGGCACGCTCTTTACAAACAGCTAATGTTCAATTCATTTCATAAGCAAACGAGCTGAACAGGAAAAAGTTTTTCCAGCTCAATATATAAAGGAGTCAAACATGAACAATGATATGTTCATTCATATACAGCTCGAAATAATTAAATTTCATATAGATATAATAGATGAGTATTGTTTTTAAAATAACTTAATTGATTACAAAGCTACAATAATTTATAATCATTAAAATTATTAATTAAAAAAATAAAATAAAAATATATTAGATTCTATTTAAAAGAATATTTCAATATAAATAATAATATTAACAATTAAGAAAATGTGTAATATTGTTAAACGAGATAAGATTAAAAGAGAATTAAAATACAATAGGGGCAAACGTTAAAGGTAGTGTTAAGTGTAATTTAATAGTGTTAAACTAAGAATATTAGAGATAGATCCATCTGCTAAGGTGATAAAAGAAAGATATGTAAGAAAGATGAAAAAGAAGTTTTGAATTACCTGTCATGTGATCTGTGGCACCAAAATCAATAACCCATTGTGTGGTAAGATAAGTATCATTACTATCTGACTCAACAAGAGTTGTGGCAAAGGGAGACTTCTTGAATGCTTTCTAAAATTGGATGAATATAACATAGTAATCTACAGGAATCAGTAGAGCCTGACTTTGAGTGGTCTCATTGGTAATGACTGAGTAAGTTGATTGTGATTTAGAACACTTTTGATGCTGAGCAATTTCACATTTTCTTCATATGACCAGATTCATGGCAATATTAGCAAACTACCCTTGAGCTTTGATATTCAGAATTCGAAGTTTCACTTCCATAATTACCTTGAGATAGATTTATTGATGTCTGTATTTTTCTGACTAGCAAGAGAACTAGATTGTTGTACGAATGAAGCTTAAGAATTTGAAATTGTGTGTAACACTCAAATATAGCCCTCCCTCAGAGTAATAACTCCCGAGTAAGATAGAATGTGATTTGACACTTCATACTACGAGTTGAGGCTAGCCAGAAAGTTCATAATAGTCATTTGTTCTCTTTGAGCTTATTGATTCCTAAAATTAGTACTAAAGGGCAATAGTGCATTCAATTCTTCATAAACACAGTTAAAGTGCACGTGATATTAAGAGATTGATCATGTTGATCACGTTATTCAGCTCGATAGAACTCCATTCATACAACAAAGATTTAAAAATTATTCTCCCATAAAACACAAATGTTGATTCTGTTATCGCATCTTTAACACAATCATAATGAGTAATATCACTAGATTAATTAGGTTCAAAAGAGTTTTGTATTTATATCAAAAGTTGAGCATCAACACTTATTCACTCAAAATAATTCAAATCAGTCCAAGCAGAGGTATTATTAGTGAGGTTAATCTCTTAAGAAAAATTTCTTAAATAGAGTCTCACAGTTTTATTTCAATATAAATAATTGAGTCTTTAAACTTTTCATCCGTAATTTTGGCCATTAATGAAACCAAACTTGTCACATGTTCTTATCCCACGGTCATGATTATCACCAAATAATTTGGATGAGTTGAAAGGCGAAAAAAACTCCAGATAAGAACAACACCAAGCTGTGGGAGACAATTGACTCGATGAATACAACAACAGCAACAAAGCCTTAATCGCACTACGTGGGATCGGCTACATGAATCCTTTTTCTCCATTGTGTCTTATTTAGTGTCATATTTTCATTTAGTTTTAATAAATTAAGATCATTTTTTAAACAATAAGCCTAAGTCTTCCTAGGTTTACCTCTGCCTTTCTTAACATAAGTCGAATCTAAAACATCTACTCTCCTAATTGGATCATCAGATGGACGCTTAATGTGACCAAACCATCTAAGACGACTTTCTCTAATTTTGTCCGTCACAGGAGCTACACCAACCCTATCACGAATATATTCATTTCACATTTTGTCTCTAAGTGTAAAGCCACTCATCCACCTAATCATTCTCATCTCGGCAACACTTAACTTAGTATTATGCTTCTCTTTTAAAAGCCAACATTCAGCGCCATAGAGCATTGCAGGTCTCACCACCGTCTTATAAAATTTTACTTTCAATCTAAGTGGTACTTTTCTATCACACAACAAAGCATTCCTCTACTTCAACCAACCAACTTGAACTCTACCCGAGATATCTAAATCGTTCACACCTTTTAATAATTTGATCACATAAAGTTACACTTCTGTCAGTAGAGCTACTACTACTAAAATTACATTCCATGTATTCAATTTTAATTCTGCTCAAATCAAGGCCTTTAGACTCCAATGTAGACCTCCATAATTCAAGTTTTCCTAGGCTTTTTTTCTCATCTTATCCACGAGAAGGATATCATCAGCAAAAAGCATACACCAAGGTACATCCTCCTGTAAATGTCCAATAAGTCCATCCATAACTAAAGCAAAAAGATATGGGCTTAAAGTCGATCCCTAATGTAATCCAACAAAAATAGAAAAATATTTGGTCAATCCTCCTTCAGTTCGAACACAAGTAACAGCTCTAGTATACATATCTTTAATGACTTGAATATAAGTCATATCAACACCTTTCCAAAGGATATCTCTTGGAACCTTATCGTAAGCTTTTTCTAAATCAATAAAAATCAAATGTAGATTCTCCTTATTATCCCTGAACTTCTTCATCAAACCTCTCAATAAATGTATAAGTTCCATAGTATCTTAACCTATGTTCAATTACCCTCTCCCATAATTTTAAAGTATGACACATCAACTTAATTCCTCTATAATTTGCACACTCTTGTGCATCCCCTTTATTCTTAAAAAAGGGGACCAAAATGACTCGACGAATGCCAAAGATTAAAAAACCAAATGAAACTGAAGGAGTCAAACTCAACAGTTGAACAAAATAGCAAATGAATCTGACAAAACTAACAAGGTTGATGGGGTCTAGCAATACAAACAACATCAATAGTCGCAGATGAAGCGAACAAAGATAAGCGATGCAGCGAAGCCGAACAAAGTAATTGAAGAAGTCGAGCAGGAAGAAGAATAAGTAGCTTAACAAAATAGGTGACGCAGCCAACCTAAACAGACGAAACTGACAAAGTCACACAAAGTTGATGATACCGATCAGTAAGCGGACAAGTGATGCAGAACAAGTCGAACATTGCAGATGAGCCAAACGACGAACAATGCCCTAATCCCATCGCAATATGAAGATGAAGTAGGAGTCAAATGACATAGAATAAACCGTGTGTTGATCTGATATAATGTATGTGAAAACTGCATTTCTTCTAATTCCTCAATCAAAAGCATATGTTACATTTTATACACACTCCTATCTTTAAAGATTAAGAATATTTCTAATATAGAAAAGATCTTAAAATTAGATCTCTTCTAATCATGTTACTTAACATCAAACTTCCTTATACATAACAATTAGATTTATACTATTCATAACAATTAGATCTCTTAAAGGTTGTGTTTAACATGGAATTAAAACGAAAACTAATTTGCAGCTAGGTTTGGCCTGTCTATAATTAATACAACTATTTGTTTAGGAGATGTTCCTTAAAAAAATTGACACTATACTTAGCCTTGCTAATTGGATTCTTGAAATTACTCCCGGGAAGAACAAATCCTCACAAGTTAGTGATTTTGCAAACAATACGTGCAACTTCAAAATAAACAACTACGCTCCTAGCATTCTCAAAATAAACAACTACGCTCCTAGCATTCTGAAGAATAGGAGATTGGAAAGTTTATATAAAATTAAGATTTCAACGAATCCAAAATAACTTGTTTGAACATAAAATAATGAAAGTTTAAATACTTGTTCAAACATAAAATAAAATTTAAAGCAGATCATAATAACATAGATTTTTTTTAAGTAAACCAACATTGCAAAAACATATGAAATTTAATGCAACATTATCGAGAATAGTACTACCATAATATGGTGAAAAAAATAAAGAAAACTTTCCAATATCCGCACCATATGTTCATGTTCCCTTGTGAGTGTCTCACACCATGAATGAATGGTAATGTAGAACCTAGAGCTACCCATGAAGAACATAATTCACTAATGATTATCAATGACATGTTTCACACTAAGTCAGTGTCATATAACAGAATGTAAGGTCCATCAAACATCCAAGAACAAATGGCTCAGCTTCAGCTTTTGTATATTGGTAGCATAAAAGAAAGTAAAATGACAAGAATTTTATGCATAAGGAACCTCAACAATGACTTACACTTTTTCAAAAGCATTGGGAACATCAATGTTGGAGGGAGGGATATAGTTGGAGCTCTTTTTTGATCTCAATGATGGTATCCTATACTTTTTTTCTTCCACAGGTGTTGGCCAATACTCCAAGCCTCGACGTTTTGTAATCCATAGGCAAGCACCAGCCTTAGTTTCATCTGTAATAAGCTCCAATGCACCTAGGTGTGCAACATCAAACAAAATATAAATAACACATATAGACTAGGTAAGTATAGCAAGGTACAGTTGAAAAGTACTATTTGATAAATCAACCCATTTTGATAAATCTAATGGTGAATAGTGTCCATAGAAGAAGAAGATTTAGTGCTCGGAAAAAAAAAATTGACATAATAGTTGAGAATATTTGACAACTCACTTTTAGGAGTCATTATGAACAAACATATGCCTGTTATATGAACATATGAAATTTTGCGATAGTGGTTCATACTAAGCTTAAAAAACAAATAAGGATTAATATGACCAGTATTATTTTGCCTTTTTGTTGTGAATTCTCTTCTTAATTGTCTTTTTCTTCGTAGCTCAATCTAGCAAATTTTGGCCTTGGTGCACCTGTCCACCTTAAAATTGGGGACAATTGAGCTTAAAGTCATCTAATCAAGTCTTAACTAATCTAATTAATCTTTAAAACTAGGAATAAATATTTTTCTAATTAAAATTAATGCCCATTAACCAGCTAAATTAGTTTTACAACCAATTTACAACAGACATGACGTATCTGGCCACCTTAAAAATGGTGACCCTAAATTATTTTAAATGATTTATTAAAAAAAAAATCTTACCAAACCAGATCCCCATCCAACATGTCACGGGTCACTTTAATCTTTCATTGGTCTTTGAATTAGCCAAAAGTATGCAACTTTCAAAAAGCATAAACCCGTCTTTGATCCTTGGCCACATATGCCATGAAGGCCTAATAGTCGCACACGCCATCTAAGATGATCCCAAAAGAGGGCATTAATCACAGAATTCATTCAAACATGCTTGCAATAACACGAAAGGGAGGACCGAGTTACCCAGATCCAAATCCCATGCATTGTGACTCGCACATGTCTTTCGCAGCCGCACTAAATCCATCAGCCACCATCTCCTTGCCACATATGCAACTGATGCTTTGCTTCCATGAACAAGCAAGCAACGCGATTGTCCTCAAAACCTTCTCACCCAACCCCATCGCCTAGTTTCCCACGCCCTCTACTCTCTCTCTCTCTCTCTCTCTCCCACATATCCCCAACAGAAGCTCTCGGTCACTTTCAACCACAATGTGAGCAAAAAGTTATTCATGGTAAGGACAACGCAGTAGCAGAAAAAAATGTTTTTTGTTAAAAAATAACCAAAGAACTATTGCAATAACAATAAAAGCTAAATAGGCAAAAAAAATTATGTAGGTCAACCTAATTTTCTATCCACGCAATCCCTTAAATATTGTAAGAGATAATAAGACCAAAACAACAAAATAAGATGCTTATTAGATTTGATATCAAATTCTGTATGCATATTCTCCGGTCATAACAAAACTATCTCTTGGCGCAAGTGCATGTCAGCCATTTTATTTTCTTAAAGAGATAATTTAGAAATATAATTTTATAAGATATGAAAATAATTTAAATATAAATATATGATTTTAATTCTTGAAAGTAACATTTTAATTTTTAAAATAGGTGAGACCAAACGGGTCTCACATTTTTGGATA